AGTGACTAGCCAGAGTGTGAAGGGATTTGCCTGTCTCTGCCTCCCCAGTGCTGCAATTAAAAACATATGCCACATGTCTGGCTTTTTCATATGGGTTCTGCACAGCAAGCACTTTACCAACTAAGCTATGTCTCCTCTGGAGAATAGTATTTTTAATGTGATTTTCCAAATATCTTAAGGTTTTGGTGTGTGTGTGTGTGTGCAAGTGTGTGTGTGTGTGTGTGTGTGTGTGTGTGTGTGGTATTATTTTGTTTGTTTGTTTGGCCCCACCCCACCCCTTTCTCATCCATAAGAATACTGTAAAGATTCCTGGGAAGAGACTCTGATGACCTAGGCAAGCTAGGACTTCTGCTGCTTACCAGTATAGCACTATATCCTGAGATATAAAATAAAGCTTCTTACCACCCCTCCTCCAAGATGTTTATGAGAACTTGGTGAGATAACGCAAGTGAAAGCACCCTGCAAACCAGGACGTGCTCTAAGAAAGCACCATCTAAAGGAAGTTCCATCATTGGAGTGCAGGGCATAGACGGGCATCTACATTATTCTACTTATGAGAACCCAACTGGTGATCCAGTCTGTGCATGAGCCATGCCAGAGAAAACAAACTCTATAGAGGGAGAAAGGAATGAGCTACCTAAATGGGGCTCAGGGGACTCAAGAGATGATCTGTATTCAATTGTGTTGGTGGATATGGCCTCTAAATGTTTAGAAATAAAGTTATAAGCTCATGGGGCTGGAGAGATAGCTCAGAAGTTAAGAATACTGACTGTTCTTGCAGAAGACCTGGGTTTGAATCCTAGCACCCACATGGCAGCTAACAACTGTCCATAACTCCAGTTCCAGGGATCCAACAGTCTCTTCTGTCCTCTGCAGGCATTGCACGACATGGGTGCACTTACCTACATGCAGGCAATACATACATACATAAAATAAAAATAATTTTTAAAAAGTTACAAGCTCATCCATGGCAATTGCCAAGGTCTTATCTGAAATGAACATCATTTAGAGGAGTCTACATAGAGTCTAGAGCAAGAGGAACAAAATCAGAGAAGAGAAGAATTTGTCAGGGTTGATTCGCCCATAGAAAACACACAGTAGAGACTGAAGTTAAGCATGAGGGAAACAGTGCATTTGTAGGACAGAAATCTAGCTTTTCCAGAATAAAGAAGTGGTCAGAAAACCCATCAAGGTCACCTTATCCCTCCTTTTGGGTTCTGTGATCACCACCACCAGTAATAGCAGAAATCACTCTTGTTATCAGCAACCAGCAACCATCATTTCTGAACTTGATTTGCTGGGCTGAGCTACACAGGGGATTGGTCATATGCCATATGCCATGCCTAGAACAGATTCTGTCTTTATGCTCACTTTACAGATTAGCAAGTAGTTATTCCAATGACCAAGTTGGGAAATCCCTATCCTTGAGGCTTTTTTTCTTTTTCCTTTTTCTTTCTTTTTTTTTTTTTTGTTTTGTTTTGTTTTGTTTTGTTTAAAGACAAAGTCTCCCTATAGCTCCAGCTGGCCTGGAACTAACTAACCTTGTAGACCAGGATGGCCTCAGTCTCTGCCTGCCTCTGCCTCTCAAGTGCTGGGACTAAAGGTGTGTACCACCATACCTGGCTCCTTGAGGGTGAGGCTTAAGTATGGTACAATCTCTCAGAAAGGGCTTTCCTATAATATATATTTACCAATGGCTCTTTTTTTCATATTCAGCAAAAGAAAGAGAAAACTGAAGCAGTCCAGAGGAGATAGTCACTCACAGACTTTGAAGGAAGGCCCAGAGTCCTCATTTCCAACAATGTTTGCTGCCAAAATTTGACCTTGACATCATGGGCTCATTTACTGGTATGCAGAAGAATTACGCTGATGTCAGGGGCAGCTTTGGGAATGAGGGACAGTTAAACCAATCAGAAAACTAAGATAACTTGACATCAGTACAAGGGTAATAATATCACTTCCTGATTCTTATTCTATACAGAGAGGGGAAGAAAAGACTTCTCAGTCATTACCCTTAAAAAAGAAATGAAAAAAAAAAAAAAGAAAGAAAGAAAAAGGAAGAGCCGCCAAGCCAGGGCTTGGCAATTAGTGTTGGAGTAAGTGATCATCTTATGATTGCTCAGCTGGGGCCTGAAGACTTGTAAATGCATTTAGAAGACAGAAATAGAAGATGTTGTGAGAGAGCAGTGAAACCTGGCCCATTTGCCAGGAGAAAATGTCCCAAAGCTGCCGGGAAATTCACTCAGTTGATTTGGGGTGTGTCTTCAGGGAAAGTTCATCCATAAAACCCATGGGTGAGCCAGACCATATACTTGTCCTCTGGTCTCTATTCTCTGTGCCCGTCAAGCTTCTATGGAGTCCCCACTGTGTCTGCCAGAGCCCTTTGACTGGGTGCTGATTCTCCTGTAGTCCCATGTCCCCAAGGGTCAGCCAGGCTAAAACTGGGTATAGACTATGGTAACTCATGCTTTTCAGAGATTCCCTTCACCCAGCCAATAACAAGAACTTTGTCAAGAGCAACGACTATGTCCAGAGAAATCAGAGCTCAGGTCATAGGCAGGTTCACTAGTATCACCAGGCCCTGTTTGAACCAGCCCCAGTGTCTTGCAAATCTTACAAGCCCCACCAGCCTTTATCAGTTCCTCTCTCCCAACAGAGCCCAAGTCATCCCATAAGGATGGGATGGGAAACAGCCATCTTCTGCAGACCTCAAGGGTAAACCAAATTTTGAGATACCCATAACCCAAGATGCATCCTGGCCCACTTCTGTGACCCATAGAAACATGGTGGGCTTGAAGCCTTGACCTTCCTGAAAGCTGCAGGTGGGCAGTGCCCTAGAGGGCCCTGGGAGCAAAAGTAACCAGGCCCAGTCCTCAAAAGGGACAGAGCCTCTCCCACACTGAGAGTTTCCATCCCACAAATATGATGCCGGAGTACAAATCTACATACTACATGCCATGGCCTGCCTACAGAGCAATTTCTTTAATAATTGGAGTCCAAGGTCTTTCTGCTCGGCTACCAGCATTCAGAACTTGAGCAGTTGCTCTGAATAACCAGCTCATACTGGAAAAGCAGCAAGTCTGATGATACTAGGCCATACCTTCACATGACAGCAGTCAGGTGGAAATGCCTACTGCCTATATCTTAACATGATATAGCCAGAGAATATGTGGTCCTCAGCCCAAATTGCCCCACCTGATCAGCCATGGGCATGTGATTTCATGACCTCTGAATGAGTTACTATAAAAAGAGAGACCTCTCAGATGTCAAAAGCTTTTTTCCCTTAGGAGGTTTTGCAATGAAACTGGAATCTGCAATAAAATAAACACCTGGAACATCTGGTCCAAGGCCCTCCTCTGGTCCCAGCTATGCCGATGGCTGCAAAGAACACACACATCAGGAAAATCTTGCCACAGAGCATAAACCGGGCAAGAGGGCAAGATGTGAATTAGGCAGTTGAATGTAGGCTTCACTCAGCCACTACTAGTACATCTGATTCTGAGCAATAGCCTCAGAGCTTGCTGTTTCCAGAGGGAAGAAAGTTCAGCACAAAGCTGAAGTAGCTAAAAGTGATAAGCAACTATTCACCATGTAGTTGGGAAAACACGGGGGCCTCAGTGCACGGCCAGAACCTCTGGGAAAAGAAAACATTCCCCAACCATGATTCTTTAGAATCTCTTCCTTTCCCCACATTCCCCTGCTCTCCCCTTCCCCATAGCATCCCTTGGAAGCACTGCCTCTTCATAAGAGATTTCTAGCCAGCAAGCTGCCTTCTATTATCAAATGCCAACTATCAGTAAAGCCAACTATCAGTGGCCAAAGGAAAGACTAGTCCACCTACCTGTCCTCTGTTTCCTCCCCACTCGCAGCAGACTACATGCCATCTGGTTCCTTCTGAGTCTCTGCTCTTTGGGGACATACCTACTGGAGGTCCACACGGCCATTATCCTTCAGAAAGCTGACTCAGACAACAAGCCTACCTGCGTGGAGATGGCAGTTGGCATGCCCCTGATTGCTTGCTGTAGGTTTCCTTTCATGTTCCCCTTCTCTACAGGAAATGACTGTCTTCCCACCAAATCCCAAAGGCTATAAATACAGAACTAGTCTTGGAGAGGAAGCATCAAGCACGTGTGATTTTACCCCTACAAGGTCTAACCAGAGTCAATGCCCAAAGAAACCATTAATCATGACAAGGAGAGGAGACAGAGCGAGGGACATACAAGCAGACAGAAACCCATGGCCTTGTGACCTCTATCTGATCCCAAATCAAGACATGCAATTTTTTTAAATTTATTTTTAGCTTATGTGTTAGTGTTTTGCCTCCATGTATTTAAGTGCACCCGTGGCCTGCAATGCCCTCAGAGGTTGAAAGAGTGTGTTGAATCTCCTGAAACTGGAGTTATGGATAGTTGTTAGCCTCCATGAGGGTGCTGGGAGCTGAACCCGGGTCCAGTGCTCTTGATGGCTGAGCCATCTATCCAGTGATTATACAGGTGTCTCTACTTTTCCAAGCTCCTCTGTATTACACCTAGACTCTGCTTAGACAGGCTTGGTCTGGTCTTCCTTTCCTTCTTCATCTAATCCCCAACCTCAACACATGTACACACCTACAATCCTGCAATGCTCTCAGAAGACTCACGTTCACATTATGTATGAGAGGAAGTCCCTGTAATTTATGTTCCCATCAAATTACAAATTTCATTATGAAAAATGTACAAACTTGGGAGTCAGGACTCTCTCTCTCTCTCTCTCTCTCTCTCTCTCTCTCTCTCTCTCTCCCCGTTCTAGATTTCTTTTTAATGATATCCTCTGAGAGTATCAAATTCAAAACACTTATGTTAAGGAGATAAAACTGGAGACCCTAGAAAATTAAAGGATTCAGTCAAGACCACCAAACAGCAAAGTCAGATCTAGATCTCAGGTCTTCAGCTTCATTGTCCAGGACTGTCTCCCTACCTGAGCCCCCCACCCACCCACTCCCACAGTCCAGTTCTACTCACATATAGCGTAAGTGGGGATTCTTGGCGAAAGCTCTGGGCTGAATGCTCCGGAGTCCGGAATTCTTGATGGTCCTGAGCAGAGAGGAAAAGACGATTAGCAGAATTCAGAGGTCAGACAGGAGGGAAGGTCCCCATAGACATCTGTATTTCTCTTCATCACTAGTCATCCTGGGTGAACAACGGTGGGCTCAGTGAGAGGCACCTGGGCCCACATCCCTTGAAGACCCAGAATAAAGTTGAAATATGAGCAGGCAGTGCTAGCAGCTGGCCACTGCCCATCCTGCCCATCAGCTGGGAATGGGGACCCCTAGTGGTACAGAGAAAACAAGGCTTCAGTCCCTTTCGCCCCAGGTCTCCTACAGCCGAAACTGGAAAGTCACTGGAAAAGGTGGCTGAGAATCTAATACTGGGGATGGATGGGAGGCAAGGCTAGTGCCAAGCACAAACCTGAGGAGAGAACACTAGCCCCACGGTCCTGGATGCAGTGCTGCCTTGAAACTCCACCCTCAGGCAACCCCCAGGCCTCTTTGGGTGAAGGCAGCCCCTGACGTCCCCTAAGTGGGATGGTGCCAACCATCCCCAAAGAGGACTCCTGAGGGGAAAAGTGAAGACAGCAGGCTTGCCGTGATAACCACGTCACCCCAAAGGATGGCAGGTAGCATCCTACCCCTTCCACAGAGAGGCTACCCCCTCCCAGTCTGGCACACTCACAGCTTCTGCAGTCCAGTGTAGAGCTCCATGTCCACAGCATTGAGTGTGTGCAGGCCGCGCCAGTTCTCTATGTGTCTGCAGGGAAAGAGGCAAGGTCAGGTCATTACAACCAGGAGAAAGGTGCCAGCCTTATTGTCAGATGTGAACTTGAAACCTGTACTGGCCAAACATGAGCCAGGCCTTCTGGCAAGCCACCCAATACTTCTGCGCTCAATTTCTCCCTCTGAATGGTGGGATTTGTTACGGGAATAAAAGGTACATGGCTTCCAAGTGTAGCCTATGGATGGGGTGCTCAGCATCATCCTCAGCTCCAGAATGACTCTATTCCCTAAAGACTTCAAACCCATCTCCCTGGGTGTCTTTCTGACTCATTCTCCCTGTTTCCCTTCCTTCTTATTCCTATTTTGGAGTTCCCTAAGGTCAGGCTCTATTTCTGTTCATTCTTGCCCAGAAGGACAATATAAATGACTTGGTTTTAGAAAGGGAGGTGTGGTCTGTGGGAGCATGACTCCTAGGTAACCAAGATAAGGAGAAAGACAAGCCTGGCTTACACACCCACTAGTACACCCAAAGAAAAGACTCCATTTGTGTGACCATAGTCCACTGCATCCTGGAGGTCAAGAAAACCAACAGCTGGAGCTGGCCTAGAAAAGTGACTCCAGAGGCGGAGCTCCCAAAGGACCCAGAGGTACAATGGAATAGTAACAAGAGTGTGGAGCGGGAACTCCGGGAGTCAGACACAAGCTTGGTGTCTAAAATGAGTGCACTGGCTTTAGGCAACCCCTTTAACTAATCTGAGTCTCTTGTTCATTTGTGAAGGAGCGCTACACTGCCTCAGCACTTTCTTCCCCTTTTCATCACAAAAATCTCTTTTAAGGGCTTATTCTCTGGAGACCTCAATTTTAAGGAGGGTTGTGTCTAGCAAGCAGACTACATTTATTAAGCAATAATTCGTCTTCTCAGATTAATCAGAAATATAAATCACTGTTAATTAGAGTTTTTATCAACAGGCACAAACCGGTGTGAACTGGTCCAGTGCATAAATTCTAGCTCAAAGCAAAAATACTTTAGTCTGTTGCTATCATGAGAAGGCTTGCTGTGAGTGTGGTCTGATTTTTATTAATTCCTTGATATTGACAAGGAATAAACATCCCTCACTACTATTTTGGAGCTGCCCAGGTCAAAAATCATCACATTATTGATTACTAAGACTTTGTTGTTCTAAAGCTGTGTGAATGACAACACCTACTCCTATCCGGTACTGAAAGGTCTTAGGAAAAGATCCACCCCAGCCCTCCCTGACCCAGCACTCTGACTCCCCACTCAGTAGCTAATGTTCTCAGTAATCAAAAGGTTTCAGTCCCATCTCTGTGAAGAGTATAGTTATCCAAGGCATATTCTGGCCAGAAAAGTGATGGCCACTTTCACCAGACGGCTCCTCCCTAGCCCCACCACACCAGCGGCTCTGCCATCTGTCACCCAGTTCAACCAGAGCCAAGAAGGTAGCAAGACAGTGGCTACTGAGACCATGGGCAGCGTTTCAGGGCAGCACAGTGACAAGTTATGTCGAGAGCCTATTTTAGAACACATTCTCCCAGAGCTCCTGCTGAGCAGCCAGAGACGCTGGCATTTGCTGGGGACATGGACCAGGTGGCCAGGTTGGCATCGGTCCTCAGCTCCAACGCCTTCTCTGTAGAAGCTTCACAGCTTCACGGTAGTTTGCTTGGTCTGGTCTCACCAAGGTAGGGACACAAGCAACATTTCAGATAAGAAAGAAAGGCAGAAAGGGTAGTGCCACCTGGGTCACTAAGTCCCTCTAATGTATATTCCTGAACCGTGGGCCATGTCAAACACGACGTAGATCTTGGTGTTTATACAGTGTGCTATTCCTTCATGAGAGTCAAACTTCCTACGTGGATCTGTTTCCAACAAGTAACTGTCAATCAAATTGTTTAAATAAATGGAATCATTTTTCTTGGCCCCTATTAGCATTCCATAAGCATGTTTTATGGTGGTAGAGATGTCAATCATTACTGCATCTGGAAACTTTACTCATTTCAACCCTTATTATTTGTGTTTACAAATGGACCCTTCCCACACTTACACACACCCTGAGAATCTGCCTGGGTTGTTGTAGAGTCCTCTGGTAAATAAAATAGCAGCTCCTGCTTCCTCTGTTGCGTCTGAGTTCTCCTCAGCTAGGGAGGGGCACTGTTGTAGCCACATTGCCATCTGGCTGAAGTCGAGGCTCTATAACAGTGATTGGCAAACTGCAGGTTGGGAGCCAAATCCAACCCACTGTCTGTGTTTGTACAGCCCTGGAGCTAAGATTCATTCTCACATTTTGTTTAAAAATCAAAGAACTATATTTTGTGACCTGTGAGAATTAGATGAAATTCAGATTTCTGTGCTCATATCTGCTCACTTACTATCACCTATGGCTATGATCAAGTTACAGGATTGAATCGTTGCTGCAGGGACCATCTGGCCTGCAAAGCCTAGATTTATTCCCTGGCCCTTCACAGGAAAATGTTGCCGACATTTGCCCAGAGGGAGCTGCCAGGATACTAATCCCAGCCCCCATGAGTACCTATACCCATGATTCTCAATCCAGGCCACTTCACCTGTCTGTGTTTCTCTTTTCTCAGCTGTCAAATGTGGGTAGTAAAATGCCTGCCTCATAATAAGGGCATAAGGCCTGAAGGACTGTTTTGAAGAGCTCTTGTGGGGTTGGGGGTCTAGTCCTGCTACTTGCCTAGTATATTTGAGACCCTGAGTTCAGTCCCCAGTACCACAAAAACTAAATAATTGCCAAGTCCTTGTAGAACTGGGCACACTGAAGTCTTCAGAGAGCACTAACTATGAGGATTATTTTTCCCCTATCCCTACAGAGGCCAAGAAATCTCTCCTTAGTCTCCCAGAGCAGATAGCATCCTGCTTCTGCTAGAAACTGACATTTCTTGGGTGTCATTTATTTTAAAGAAAAAAAAATAGCAGAAGGGAGGGCCACCATTGATTCTAAAGACCCAAAGGATACGAATCCTGTCATTCATGACCTTCAGCAAAACAAGTTCAAAAAAAAGCACCCATGGGCCAACAAGTTGACTCAGCAAGTAAAGGTGCTTGATGCTGGTCCTGACGACATGAGTTTGATCCTGGAAAATCCACATGGTGGGAGGAGGGAACTAACTCTGGTGGGTTGTCCTATGACCTCCACAGGCATGCCTTGGCATGTGTGTGTATATATGTATGTATGCATGCATATGTGTGTGTGTGCCGCACAACAACAAATAAACATAATAAAATAAATTAATGTTTTAAAAAAGAGAAAGCACTCATGTCAGGGGCAGAGCAGGGCCGAGGACAAGAGCACCAGGGACAATGAAGCTTTAATATTTGTGTATGACGTTGACCAGCGCTTGCCAAATTTCCCATGACTTGCTGCTTGATACCAAACCAGGAAGGTCACTTAAGGTAGCCCTGCCAGCTTCTATTAGGAAAACATAAGTTTAAGTGGGAAAGGCTGGCTTTACAAAGTATGATAAATGAATAAGATGAGATAAGAGCCTATGTTTGGCTTTGTTTTGTTAATGGTAAATAGGGAATACAGTACCTAGTACTGGCACATGGAGTTCTTCATGTTCAGTGCTTTTCTGGGTATTCCAATTGTTTTTACAGAGTGTGTTTTGTCATTGGTGAAACCATCAATAAGTATTCATTTTTTAAGGACATTCAGGGCTTGAACCCTATAGGGATCAATGGCTCATCCTGGCTCATCCCTGCAGATGCCTCTCAAAACCTGCCTTGGCAGTGAGGAGGGAAAAAGAACTGAGTGATGCTGGGAAGGTGGCAGAATGCATGGCAGTCATGCCCCCCACAGGGACCTGCAGCCTTGTTCTCCACGTGGTGTCTCTGCTTCAATCAGGGACAAGGAGGATAGGGATGGAGAGATACCATAGAGCTGCATCCAAGTTCTCTCCCTTACCTTAAATCAATACCCTCTACTTCTGGATCTTAATACAGCAATTCTCAAGAGGAGGCAACTTTGCCTCCCAGGAGACATTTGGCCTTATCTACACAGTTTTGGTTGTCTCAACTGGGGAAAAAGAAACACTAACACTTAGTGGGAAGCAGTCTGAGACACACAGCATAGCCTATAGCAAAGCATCAATCCCAAAGGTCCCCATCTCAGATATGGAAACCCCTGCCTTATCACATAAAGTATCTGCCAAATATATCATTGAAGCAAGAGTCCCTGGCTTTAAACATCACTTTTGAAAATGACTGCTTCGCAGCAAACTGAGTCCTCAGGCCAAAACAAAAAGCCTCACCCTCCATCAGTGAGTCTAGGAAAGAAATTTGAAAGCCTTGGCTCTCAGGACCCTTTCAAGTCAAGATTATGACCAAGCTGTGGATGGGATCTGCTTGCCAAGAGTCTTTTCCCGTGTCCATCTTAAGAGCCAGCTCAGTGCCCTGTCCCTGTCCTCTTACACTGCCTCTCCATGAAGCCACAAGACCACCGTTCTGTCAACACTTTGCACACACCCCCTTTCCAGAAAGTGACAAAACGAAGCACAGTCCATGGCAACACAGACCCCTGGAGCCAGACCAGGCTTAGGGGTGCAGCTCAAAAAGCCCAATGGAGTGAAGATGGATAGCCATGATTCCAGAACATGACACTGCCAGGCAGACTTGGGTGGGATGAAGTCAAGAGGCAGCTATGCACTCTCCTCCACAGTATGAGAAACAGAGCCCCTCTCTCTGCAGAACATTAATTGATACATCCATGGTGACACAAAAGCCTTTTGTGCTAGAACAAATTAGATCCTATTTTTGTTCCTTAGCCTTCCTTTCCTTTTTCCTGTTTTGTTTGCACCAATATGGAAATGAACTAGCCATCTCCAAGCAGCTGAAAATTAGGTGTCCACAAGCTCTGTGGTCCATATTTTAATTAAAAACATGTCGGGTGTCCTTAATACTCCAATATTTAATGCTTGTGACTCTTCTATACAGGAAATGAAAATATGGAGGTATGTGCTGCCATCTAACTGGAGAAAGCTAAGGTGTAAGGAAGC